CCTTCTTCTTCTTCTTCTTCTTCTTCTTCTTCTCCTTCTCCTTCTCCTTCTCCTTCTCCTTCTCCTTCTCCTTCTCCTCCTTCTCCTCCTTCTCCTTCTTCTTCTTCTTCTTCTTCTTCTTTTTTGTTCATTACTCCATAGTAACATTTCTAACCTTCAGCTCTTATATGACCTGTTTGTGTTGCAAGTGCCATAAAAAAATTTACTAAACCTAGAAAAAAAATCCTAAAAGTCTGAGAATTAGAACCCCTGGCAAAAAAAAGAGATTTAAAAAAAACTCTCAAATAGGGCATTGAACTTTAAAGCAAAATCGATAACCTTTACGAAAGACAGAAATGGTATTGACTATAACCTCAAGAGGATTCTTTTTCTTCAACACAAGAGTCAAAGATCCGGTTCGTTCAGGATATTGGCTGAAACCAGAAAGTGTTAGATTGCACTACATTGTGTCAAAATAAACCCAAATGTATCAAGACGCGATAGAATCAGACACTCGTCTATTTCGGGCTATGAGGAGTTATTGGTACTCCCTTAAAGCTTCTCCATCTGTCTTGTTTTTAGTGAAAAGAAAATACTTATTGATATTGAATAGACGATGAGACATTCGTGATTGAAATTAATGCCGTTTGCCTTGTTTAGTGGTATAATTAACGAGAAAATGGCTGCCAAAGTGTGATGACTTCCAATTACTGGAGAGTACTTTGAAACTGAAAATTTACATTTTCTATGCTTTTAATCAACGTTTTTCAGTAAAATCCACATAGAAATGTGTTTTTAAATGGGCATAAAAGGTGTTGTGCCATAAAACTCTGATTCGAAAAACTGCCAAAGCGGCCGAGAAATGGCAATGTCTTCGATTTCATTATTTTTACGAGCGCTTGATTTCAACACGATGCCCCACAAATACGTAAGGTCGGAAAGTATCGCAGACCCGAGGAGTAACTGGCTTATGCGTTTTGATATCTATCTATCTATCTATCTATCTATCTATCTATCTATCTATCTATCTATCTAT